CGACTGTCTCTATTAGAAATAATCGATGTAGGTAAGCCAAAATGCTTCCAAACATATTGGAAAAATAACTTTGCAGCTCCTTCTCCAATAACGGTCTTTGCATGGAATGAGAATCACGATCTTATTGAAACGATCTACCACCACAAACATGTAGTCATTTCCAGACTTGGTTTTAGGCAATCCACCTAAGAAATCCATCGAGATACTCTCCCAAGGTTGGCTAGGTACTAGCAATGGAAGATACAGTCCTAACTTCCTGTTAGAAGGCTTCGATGTGTTGCATAGAACACAACCTCGAATGTATCGTGAAACATTGAGATGCATTTTTGGCCAATAAACATAGTGACGAAGATTCAATAGTCTTCTCAACTCCAAAATGTCCTGCTACTTTGGAAATATGAGACTCACGAATCCACTGCAATTTGTCTTCCATCTTCTGGAATGCACAATTGTGTTCCTTTGTACATTAGTCCATCATTCAATTGGAACTCACTAGTCTTTCCTTGTTGCAGCTTGGCATAGGCTGTGTTGAAATCAGCATCTATGTTATACCCTTTAGCATATTCAGAAGGAACAATGGGTTGGATTTGCATAGCCACCAGCAATGCGGAACTAATTGGTGTAGGTGGTTTAGATAACATATCTGCCAACATATTAGTTGCTCCATTCTTGTACTTTATCACAATATTGAGTTGTTGTAGGTAAGACATCCATTTCATATGGCGAGCTTGCTGACTTAGACTGTGTAGTTAAAAACTAAAGAGGTTTATGATCTGAGTGAACTATGACTTCTTTTCCCAACAAGTAAGCTCTCTAATGCTTCACTGCTTGATGCATTGCATACAGCTCCTTGTCATAAGTTGAATAGTTTAATACTAGTTAACTAAACATCTCAGAATGGTATGCAACTAGTTTCCCATCCTGAAATAATATGGCTCCCATGGCAGAGTTCGATGCATCTGCTTCCACTTCAAATGGTTTCTGCAGATTCGGTAATGCTAGTACTGGGGCCTCTATAATCTTTCATTTTAACAACTGGAAAGATTTTTCATGGTTTCTCAACTATTCAAACTTTTTTATTGGCATTTGTAAGAGAATGTGAGGGTGCTGTAATTTGAGAAATCACATGTACTTTCTCTAGGTCCATTTTCAGTTCTCCTGCACCAACAATGAATCCCAGGTATACAAGGTGTTGTTTCCCAAATTAACACTTCTTACCGTTTAACTGTAACTGATTTGTTCGTAGAACCTCCAAAATTGAGCAATATGATGAAGATGGTCCTCCCACGTGACACTAAATATGAGAATGTCATCTAAGTATACAATGACGAAGTCGTCAATGAAAGGGCGGAGTACCTCATTCATCAATCGCATGAAGGTAGCTAAATCATTACATAACCCAAATGGCTTGACTAACCACTCGAAGAGTCCCTGCTTTGTCTTGAAAGTAGTCTTGCAAGTGTCTTCTTCATGGATGCAAACTTAGTGATAGCCAGATTTGAGATCTAGCTTCGTAAAGTAACGAGCACCATGTAATTGATCTAACAAGTCATCAATCCTCGGTAATGGATACCGATTCTTGATCGTTATTTTGTTGAGTGCCCTATAATCTACACACATACGCCAGCCTCCGTCTTTCTTAGGCACAAGGAACACTGACGAAGCACATGGTGAGCAGTTAGGTTTGATGACTCCTTGTTTAAGAAGTCCTTGAATTTGCTTCTTGATCTCGTCAAATTCCGTCGGAGAAGTACAATACAAACCCAAGTTTGGTAGAGGTGAATCTCCTAACAACTGGATATCATGCTCCACAGCTCTCCTTGGTGGCAAACCATGCACATCTTGAAATAAGTCCTTGAACTTCTCCTGCAATTTCCCTATGTTTGAGCATTGCGTAGGAGATAAAGACAAAGTAGACAATGTCACATCTCCAGAACTCTGATTTTGTGGTCGAATCATCAACAAAACGTATTGCCCACATGAATTGACTAACCTCTTGGCTAGGTTTGCTGTCAGCAAATTATCTATAGCTTGAGGCTTGCAAGCGTTGATGTGGAACTTCTTCCCATCCTTCACAAGTCGATACTTGCGAAGCCTCCGATAGTGAATGGCATTTTGGTCCCATAAATATGGATTGCCTAATATGACTTGGCAAACGTCCAAAGGAACCACCTCACATGTCACCTCATCGATATATCGATTGGTGATAGCAAATTTGAAGGTAAATTGCTTCATGATCTGTAAGTCAACGTCCTTCTGAATCCATCCCAGCGGTACGGCTTAGGACGTGGTGTGGTGTCTAAACCCACTTTTCTTACTAAAGCCTCTGAAATCAGGTTTTTCTGACTTCTAGGGTCAATGATAGGTTGTACAATACTTTGCTTCACTTGAATATTCATATAAAACAACTCTTCATGGTTGTACGTGTCTTCAGTATCTATTGGTCTTGTCATAAGGGTAAGTGTAACATCAGGTTGCTTCAACTCTGGAAGCTCTTATGCCTGTTGTGCAGTTAAGGTGGCTTTTCTGTCATTTCTCCCATGGTTGTTTTTCTCGCGCTTTGGCCGCCACTCAGGATGGAGTATCCAACACTTGTCTTTGGCATGTCTGCTGGTTTGACAGTGATCACAGTAGACCTTCTGTGTCTGACCTTCCTTGCTCTGCTTCCCCTTTTTCAGCCAGTCAATTTTGTTGACAGGTTTTGATCTGTCATCCTTTTTGTCAGTTCTTTTATTTTTCGCCTCAATGGCGATGGCCTTCATAGTAGCTTCTTCAATAGTATCTACAGTGAACAATTTTAGTTCTTTCCGTATGTAGTCGGCAAGACCTCTAGTATACTTCATGAAAACATCATAGTCATCGACGTCGATGTCCAAAACCGTAGCTTAGTTGTGGAAGTCTGTTGTATACTCTTGTACAGGCTGCCCAAATCTTTGTCTGAAGTGTTGCCACTTATACCATCTTTCATCTTCATAGACAATTGATAGAATTTTTTTCTCAAAAGCATCTTGAAGTTCTTCCAAGTCAATTCTAAGACATCATACCGTCTCCACTAGGACTTCCACCATGTAAGGGCATGGGTTGAAAGTTTCAAACTCGCAAATTTTATCTTTTGCACATTAGAATACTTATAAATTGTGAAATAAGTTTCTAATGTGTCTATCCATTTATCTAGCTTTTCAGGATCAACATCTCCTTTATATATAGGGATATCAACCTTAAAATCAGTTTTTAAGGTATTAATAGAATTTTTGTTGTCACATGATTCAGCTTCCTTTTTCATTGGATGAGCTTGTGTGTCGTCTTCATCTTCGCTATCCTTAACAATCTTTTTCTTGAGCTTTTGATCAAGCTCATATGAAGTTGATGGATGTGAAGGTTTTCTAGTCTTCAAACTCTCCACGAGTTTAAGGATTGCTGCAGACAAGTTTTCAACTTGTTGCTCAAGCTTAGTGATGTGATCGCCATCACTAGATGTATCTTGTTTGTTTTCTCTAGTCATAATGTATCTCTTGGATCTTGGCTTTCGGTGTACGAGCAAAGGACCTAAAAGTTCTTCTCCAGAAGCTTTGCGTTGGTTGCGAGTTAAGACCATAAACCACCGTCACCCTCTCGGATCTAGTGCTCTGATACCACTTTATCCAAAACTTCTAGTCGATAGAACTATGAATTCCTAATTTATAGGAAAAAGGGAACGAGAGGAATTTTAAGACAATTAGAGAAACAAAAGGAAGAAACTAAGGAACTACTTTGAGTTCTTTCAGAATTGCTTAATTCATTTCAATGATAACTTACGTACTTATACAAGGTTTGGTTGCTAAAATTAACTAAACTAAAGTAGTAAACTATTTTAAGCCATAGAGAATGAATTGCCTAAAATCTCACCCATTTAAAACCATTAACTTTTTATGGTTTATAACAATTCGTTATGAACCATTAGTTTTTGTGGTTTTAAATAATTTAATAATATAATTAATTATAATTATATTATAGGGTTATTCGTAGCACTGGTCCTTCAATTATACTCGAAGTTACATTTTGGTCACTCAACTCAAATATTAGTTGCAGGGGTCACTCAATTGGGTGTTGTGTTGCACCATTAGTCCCTACCATCAAGTCTGTGACTTTTTCTGTTTAAAATGATGACGTGACAAGCATCCCTTAGATTATTGATGGGCAAATGTGACTTTTCAGTTAGGATTATTTGTAGCAATGATCCCTCAACTATACTCGGAGTTACATTTTGGTCACTCAACTCCAAAAAATAGTTACAGAGGTCACTCAATTAGGTGTTGTGTTGCACCATTAGTCCCTATCGTTAGAGAGACTTAACGGTATGGACTAATAGTGCAACACGACACCCAATTGAGTGACCTCTGCAACTAATATTTGAGTGGAGTGACCAAAATGTAACTCTGAGTATAGTTGAGGGACCATTGCTACAAATAATCTTATATTATATTACGTTTATTTTTGTTAGTAGATCTTCCTGAATAATGTCTTATTGGGCTTGACTTGGGCTGATCTCCTTAGCCCAAGGTGGTCCGGCTGGCGTAGACCTCTCGGTTTCCCTTTCATTTCATTAAGGGCATTTCCATCATTCTTGACATAAGAAGTCCACATGATGTGCTCTGAGTTGATGTGCGAAATTCCACATCTATGTGTAGTCCATATGATAAAAATAGGATCCATTTTGCCGTGTAACCATTTAGTGAAACAAAGTCATCCATGGAAGAGCTCATATGTAGGTTTTCATGAATTTATTTATGAGTTTTTTAATTTTCTTTTTGTAGTACAAGCGATTAGGGAAAGGAGTTTACACAAATATTCATTGAATGCTTAGAGGTTTCAAATCTCTTCCCACATAAATGGAGGTGAAAGAACTCAACCAATTGAGCTATACTTCACTGACAATTATAAGTTTGTAAGGTATTCAAAGATTGGGTGTCAATTTAAAACAAGCGGAAAGTTTTTATGTAAATTATATAATCTTTCTTCCATCCTTTTTTAAAGTTCTATTCCAGGGTAAAGCGGAAAGTTTAAGTGACGAAACTTTTGAGAGAGCATTTTGTGGGGTTCGTATAGAATTTCCCTTGGCAAAAGTAAGCAAAATACAGAAGAAAAGCTCAAAGCAAGCAAAAACAACGGAGTCGCGTGGGTAGCAGGTGAGATTTAGAGCCTAGGGTTCAGAAGATTAGAATCTAGTAACAACGGTATCGAGTCCCTAAATTGAATTTGAATTTGGTGGTAAGACCGAATAGAATGCAGTCGCAGCAGCAGAAGATGAAGATGAAGAAGAATTTCAGAAAAAGAAGCGCGCCCGCTGAGGATAACCAAGATTGTGAAAAAATCAGTGACCAAGAAGATGAAGAAGAAGAAGAGAGGAGGTAGGTACCTTCCGACGTTGTTTTTGTATTAATTTCGTTTTTAATTTTTTGGATTTTATAAAACGGAAAGATAGAAAAAGTGCTATAATTTTGCTGAAATAGAAATAATGAGCAGAAGGATATTCAGGGTAGACTGATAATCATATTAGGGCTTTCTGTATTTTCTTAAATTTTGTATTGTAATTTGAAAATAAAGAATGTAATCTATGAAGTATGAATGTGTAGATTGGCGCTGGAGGAGGTGAAATTCCTGCAAAAGCAGAGGGAGAGGAAGTCTGGGATTCCTGCCTTAACTAGTAATGGTGCGACGCAGAATATTCCTAGTACCACAAATAACAACAATAGTAACAATAATACTAACCTTGATAAGAACAAGAGAGGAAGCGATGGCACTCATTCTCCTAGTAATAAGCATGGTGAAGGCGGTGGCGGAGATGGAGACAAAGATGATTTAGTCCTTCAAGATACCTTTGCTCAGGAAACTGCCGTCATGGTTGAAGATCCCAATATGTAATGTCCTTTTCTTTTGCTGTTTATATTGCTCTTGCTTTTGAATTTTGCCTCCATATAAACAATATTTACATTAGTGTAGAATGGGACTATTGTATTACCTAACATGATTAAGGCTTCCTATGTTGATTATTTGAAAGGTTGAAATATGTTGAACAAGAACTAGCAAAGAAGAGGGGCAGGAAAATTGATGCTTCAGATCAAGTTGAAAATGATTTAAAGCGTGCTGAAGATGAGTTATACAAGATACCTGACCATCTTAAAGTGAGTCACTCAGCACTCTAGTTTTATTTTCTAAAATGCTTCTATGTGAGTACATCAGACCTATCTAGACCTACGACTCTTTTTAGTGTTGCTCACCCAACTTATTCATTTCATCCTTAAAGCCCTTTCACTGCATCAACTTCTTTTAACTTGGGCCATTTCCTGCCAGGTGAAAAGGCGAAACTCAGAAGAAAGCTCCACTCAGTGGACTACTGGGATTGCCGAGGTTCAGCTTCCTATTGAGTAAAGCCCTTTTCTACTCTTAATTTATTACACTATATGTTATGTGAATGTTCTTGTTTGAAATTAGTTGTAGAGCACTTTTTCTACGCAATTCTTCATCCTTCTTAACGAAAGTGAGCATAGATGGTCACAAGGTTATGCCTTAGTTTTTGAATCTGCAGTGATAGCATGAGAGCAGAATCCTTGCATGTAATCTCATGGATGCATGATTTATATGATAATTTATCCTATACTATAAGTTTTTACTTGCCTTTTAATTGTTATGTTTTATTATTTCTAATGATTGCAGATACAAGTTAAGAAATATTGAGGAAACTGAGGCTGCCAAGAAGTTTTTGCAGGAGAAGCGGCTCATTGGGCAGACAAAATCAGAATTTAGCATCCCCTCAAGTTACAGTGCTGATTATTTCCAGCGTGGCAGGGATTATGCTGAAAAACTTAGAAGAGGTTGGTTAGTTTTCTTTCTTGATTCCATTGAATAATATGAGTAGATTACCTAGTTGACTTCACACCAAACTGGTAAGTCAAGGGCTATGCTAGTCACAAAATCTTTTTATTTATTTAAATACAAGCGATAGTTTAAACTATAAGGGGAGGGGGGTTTCTCGCACACACTAACAACAAACATGAAACTTACTAACAACAAACATGGAACTTACAGAACATCCTGAGCTTTACAAAGATAGAAGTGCACAGGATGATGGTGGTGTTTCCAGACAAAATGATACTGGTACAGAAGCAGCAGGGCAGAGGCAAGCTGCAACAGATCAGTTCATGCTTGAGCGCTTCCGCAAACGAGAGCGTCACCGTGTCATGCGGAGGTAACGCTGCTCCAACAACAGTAAAATGCCTAGAATGGAATTTAGGCTAATAAAAAAGGAGTCAAGAATGGTTTCTGCACTCATTATGCCATACAACATGTGAAAATATGCTGTTTGTTGCAGTGTGTCACAAAGCTCATTTTGTTGCAAAAGCATCGTCCTAACTAGTTTTTGATGTAATATCTAACATTCTTTAGTCGACTTTGCGTGCTCAAAAGCTTGGCCTGTCTGATGACAGAGCTGAATGTGGATGGTCTTTCCTGGAAGCATACTTGCAATTTCTGTTTAGTTTGTTTCCATCACCCGAGGGAGCAGACCAAATGCAAGCTTTAAGAGCTTCAAATGTTCTGGCTGCATCCTCTTAATTGTCTAACTAGATATGTTTGGTTTGTCTTAAGAAATACCTTGAAATTTTTTAAGGTGTATGATTGTTAAAGTAATCACGCTCGATATAATGCAATCAAACAGTTTTGATTTCAAGTGTAGGTGTGATGGTTATGAAATTGATCAATATGTGAATTTGAACAGGTGGAAAATTTTCAAATTCATTTGGTTGCGAATAAATTGAAAGAGTTATCAAGACTTATATTGCTATGACTTACTAGATTTATCAGTCTGAAGGAGTTTTGACATGAAAAACGTAACATGCATTGATTAATGTCGTAGTTTAGGGAAAATTTAGCAAATACTACCTGAACTTTACCCATTTCGACACTTGACCGCCTGAACGTCATTTTGTGACAATTTATCACCTGAACGTCATAGCGGTTAGAGTTCTGTCAAAAAGAGTCTCGTGAGTCCCATGACTACTATTTTATTTCACATTGCCACAAACAGTTTTTTTATGCTAGATTACCGCCTGCAAAATTTTTTTGGGTATCAAATTAGGCCTTGGTCAAATGCAAGCTTTGGGAAAATAATTTAAAAAACCCGTCTTTCAATTCTTTTATTTATTTATTTATCAAAATAATCTTGGCAATTTTAAATAGCATTTTATGGGCTTTCAACAACTAACTTTACTCCTAAGAAAGCATTGTAGAGCTAAAGCCCATAAAATTATATAATAGCACTCCAAGGTCTTAAATATCGATATTATCCCCGATATTATCCCGATAATATCTGATTTTTGGGGGGCAGATATTTTAGCAACTAACCATGGTGTTATTGTCATAATATCGATATTATCCCGATATTATCCCGATAATATCGGGGAGATAACTTCAACATTTTTATGAATGATTTGGGCAATATATCGAGATATTATCGATAATATCCCGATACAAAACCCAAAAAATACATGAATTTTTTTGAAAAGTCTCCCCTATTGGGCAGAGGGATTCGAACCCCTCCCATTTTACTCATTCAACACCTTAACCATCATATCACTTATGTTTTTGTGAAGTCAAGAAGATAACTCGTAGAGAAAGAGGCAAGGGGACTTTGTCAAGTCAAGAAAATTACTCGTTATCTATAACTTCGAACTATGTTGAAGTAGGAAGTAGTAATTATGGTTATACTCATAACCAATCATTTCCCTACCCTTCATATCCCATTCCTGTTGGGATGGAATCAAGCGACTCATGGAAAGAATCCGAGACTCAATCTTCAA